CACTCCTCCAGAACCTCCATCTACTCCTCCAGAACCTCCATCTGCTCCTCTAGAACCTCCATAATTGTTGGACATGTGTAGTAGCCCTCACAGCACCGGGCATATTCCGTAAAATGTGGCTGAACCCCGAATTGCCTTAGTACAGAACCCCCATGATCGTAGAACTGCGGCTACAACCGCATCTGAGCTGCATGAAGGGGACAGACATGGCCACCACCCCACCATTGAAGGGACCACGATCCTTCCACCCGGAGTCCCAGCTCCCTATCAAAAGCCAAGAAAGACCATGAAGAACCGAGTGTGGTGGGCACATGGATCTGGGAAGCTGCCGACATCTGGAAAGAAAAGATCTGGGATGTCTCTGGTGACTTCTGAGCCACCTACGCGCCTCACGCATCAAGAGCCAGTCAAATACGAGTATTGGGGATTGGGGTCACATTCTAGAGAACGCCTCAATCTGCTCTTCCCATTGGCTGAGTGAGGGGGAACGAACAACCAACACCGGGGCCTTAGAAGTTTCCCATCTGGTGCCCTCACACAAAGAAAAACAACATGGCTCCCATCCTCCATCCACTGGGGAACATGGGCTGAGACCTCACCAGCATTCACCGTCTCCACCAGATCTCAGTTCAGTTGGTGGAGAGCCGTGCGACCTCGTTGTTTAGGTTTTGCCCAGAGTTACATTTAGGATCACCAAATCTCAGGAGGCTGAAACTCTTGCAGGGAGCAGATGGTGGTGAGCCCCAAGGTCATCTGCTCCCACCATTGCATGTCCCTGTTGGCGACTCAATGCAATGGGTGATGCGCGAGGGCGGGGTGAAGTGGGCTGATGCTGGATAATGGAAGCTGAAATCGGTGCTTGCAGGTCGTAGAAGCTGTCTGGTGGGGTGGACTTGGCATCCTCCTCCAGAACCGGCTCACTCCTCACTTCGGCTGAACCCTCCACAGATCATTGGAGGGGCAAACCTCAAGAATCGGGAAGCAATGACCTGATTTGTATTAGTGTTATTGTAGTGAAGGGAAAGGCTTCAGGTCTGAGGAGGTTTCATTTTGTGTTGAGGTTCTGGGTGGGGGATCAAGGTAACCCTAGAAGCGATCCGGCCTACGATAGGCCGCATTGAGCCCTCTGATCTAAGGCCGTGATGTCTGCTCGCCACACTCTCCCCCCCCCCCCCCCGTCTTTTTCCCCTCTGTACCAAAAACCCCCCCCCCCCCCCCCCCCCCCCGTTATTTTCCGATCTGTAAATCTTTGCTCCCGAGGCTGATATTTCCACCTCCCCCGGCTCCAGCTGAACGCTATAAATAGATGGTTTACATGCGTGTGTCATGTTACACAACACGGTGTCCTCAGGATAGACAGAGCCATGCAGAGATGCAAGCGTGCTGTGCGTTTATGTGAGGACAGCTTACAATGATACATCTGTCACACCGTATGGTGAATGTGGCACCTCAGTATCCCACCGTGGTGAATCTTCCAACCCCCGGAAGATACACGATTGACCACATGACACGTCCTTCACGTCACTTCTATTTCACGGTTCCTCTGTCATGGTGGAGCCGCACTCCTGAGCACATTCTTCCTTCACATGCCACGGCCGTGTTGACTTGAAGTCTTTCATCCTCTCGGATAGGTTTGGCCCGTACACATGCCGTGTCATATCTAACCTTGTAAGTTGCCCGTCTGCCATGTGAAGTGACTGCTTGAAGTGGATCTTTACAAGAACACTAGGGATGCGCCGATACCGGTTTTTCAGTACCGAGTACCGATATTTTTTTCTTCCATACCCGCCAACACCGAATACTAGGCATGCACCCATACCGATACCAGTATCGTTGCCGAGTATTTGGGCGAGTACTCTTACTCGGACAAATGCTCCGATGCCTCCGGTATCAGGAAGCCGGCTCCATCGTCACTTGTGATGAGGGAGCACGGAGCCGGCTAATCAGGAAGCCGGTGTAATGACGCGGCACCCGGCTTTCTAATTGGCCCGAAAGCCGACCCTCGTCACCTCATGACAAGGGAGCATGGAGCCGGCTTCCCAGCCAATCAGGAAGCCGGGCTCTGCGTCATTACAGGGCGCCCGGCTTCAGAAAGCCGGCCACATGCTTTCTCATCACCTAGTAAGTGATGACACGCCACCCGGCTTGTGGCTGGTAATGGCTGGCTGCCCAACTTCCCGATTGGTCGGGAAGTTGGCCGATCAGGAATCCAGGCGCCGGCTTTCTGGCCAATCAGGAAGCCAGGCGCTGTGTAATGACATGGCACCCGGCTTTCCGATTGACCTCGAAGCCGGCTTCATGCTCCAGGGAGCATGGAGCCGGCTTCCCAGCCAATCAGGAAGCCAGGCGCTGTGTCACTACAAGGCGCCCGGCTTCCTGATTGGCCAGAAAGCCGGCTGCATGCTCCATGTCGCCTAGTAAGTGATTACACACCTCCCGGCTAATCAGGAAGCCGGGTGGCAAGTCATTACACGCTGCCTGGCTTCCTTAATGGGACTTCCGGTATCGGCCAGTACAGAAAAAAAGTATTGGTACTCGATACCGAAATACCGGTGCATCCCTACCGAATACCGATACTGGAAGCCCCATTAAGGAAGCCGGGCGGCGTGTAATCACTCACCCCCCCACCCCAGCTTCCTAAATTGCAGAGAAGCCCGTTCCATGCTCCCTCCCTGGTGACTAGGGAGCATGGAGCCGGCTTCCCGGCCAATCAGGAATGATTGGTTAGCACATTGCTCTTGGAGAGGTACGGCACCCCTGATCACCCTATTTTTGTACATGAATAAGTGGGGATTGTTGTACGTTAACAAAAAAAAATAAGACCTCCCCCGAAAATTGAGCCAAAACAAAATATAAGACGTCTCATTTTCGGGGAAACACGGTACCAGACAGTGTTTTTCCTCATAGTTCTCCTCAGGGTGACGGGGGGACACAAACTAGCGTCCTCCCGTCACCCTAGGCTCAGTAGCTCGCGGTATACTGAGACGCCGCAGCTGAAACGGATCCCGACAATACTGTCTGGATCACCTCATAGTTCTCCTTTAAAAAAGGAGAACTATGAGGTGACTGATTTTCACTCGTCCTCATAGTTGGAGCCGACATGTGACAATGAGACTGTCGCAGGTCGGCTCAGTAGATCGGGAGGTGAGAGAACACATACCGGCGTTCGCTCACCTCTCGATCCTGTCACGGCTCTCTGCCATGACAGGGGAGGGGCTGGATTCCTCCCTCCGATCCTCCAGCGCTGACTGGCGGAACGGACGGGGGAGGGCCGGGTACAGCTGCCTCTAGATAGGCGGAGCCAGCTGTCACTCACGCAGCTGGGCGGATCCAGACAGAATTGTCGGGATCCGTTTCAGCTGCGGCGTCTCAGTATATAGGGAGCTGTAGCTCCCTATATACCGAGCCTAGGGTGACGGGAGGACGCTAGTTTGTGTCCTCCCGTTACCCTTAGGAGAACTATGGGGGAAAGTCCTAACCCCATAGTTCTCCTTTAAGACTCCAGGGAATGGAAACAGACCAAGCTCCCCCCCCCATCCCAATGCTGGAGCCAGAAGCTTGGCCATACTCTACCAGTATAGAACTCAACAGAAGGACAACAGCCAGATCCAACTCTTACTTCTGCTTGGCATGCCGATGGAGCAGAGACAGCCAGTACATGGCTGGAAGCCGGCAAGGAGACTGGAATGTGCCATAGCTGCAGTGAGAAGAAAAAAATGGGAGGAGGAGGCGGTGAAGAGTAGGATAGAGACACATACTCACCTAGTCCAAGTCCTCCATAATGTAGACCAGGCACTAGGGCTTTCCCATGGAGGAGGGATTGCCCTGAGCGCGAAGAGAGAGAGAGGACACCGGGGGAGGGTTGTCCTGGCGGGTCATTGGGCACAGTTAACCCATAAGTATGCCAACATGAGGCGAGCCAAGGAAATCCAGACTTGTAGATACAGGACAAGATTGCGCTTGCCATTAGGAAGCATTTCAGTGCAGAAATACAAATGAAAACAGTTTGCTGGTTGTATCAAATATTTATTTTAAAATATACATTGAATGCTCTATTCACACCTATAAATATATATACGTATTATAACACTCTTTACAGGGTTTCATAAGGTGCACATTACAGTGTTAGAGGGGCATCACGTGGCCAGCGGACATGCGGTACGTTACCATAAACCAAAACCAAAAGAGCATTCTGGGAAATTTCCCATGGCTGGCGCCAGACAGGCAACCGTCACGTTCCAATACTGTTGACATTCTTCTGCACATTATAAACAACTGGCTACTTAGGCCTCATTCACACACGATATCGGGCGGCACGTACAGCTCCGTGCGGGGCCGTACCAAGTAGCTGCCGGGAAGGACAGGTGCTGCGTGTGATTAAATGTAACCGAAGCATTTATAGCGAGTCTGACCGGGTGACGCGGGAGGAGAACCTGGACAGAACCGTGGCGGTTCCGTCAGCAGCAAGCCCAGTCAGAGCTCCAGATCAAAGAAAATGCAAATCGGAGAACAAAATACAAGAGCAGCCTGTAAGAAAACGTGCGGGAAGTGCTGGCCCTTTGTTGCTTGTGTTCTATCCAAGAAGGATCTTTACATTTCCCCCCCAAATAATTGCTCTGACCCTTCAACTTACATGGCAAAACCTCGTCTCGGATCTTCTCTCCGGCACCAGCAGAGAAGAAAGGAGAACAAACAGACACGACGGCTGAAGCTTCTGTAAAAGCAGCTCTAGGACATGAAAACCCATCACACCAGCTCTTATTGGACACCTTCTTGTAGGTTCTTTCCAGGAGTGTCCTTACAATTTGACTTCCATTCATACATGTCCGCGTGTGCTGGAAGGTGGAGGAAAAGAGCAGCAGTGTGTAGGAAACAAAATAACATGCACTGAAAAACTCAAACCCAACCAGCGATCATAAAGTCTGTAAACATTCATGCTTCAAGTACTAGTGGCCATCAGCGGTGGGATGAGGGGTCTCCTCCATACACAGGTTCTCGAAGGTGGGCTTGCCTAGCATGCCGGACTGTGCACCACCCTCCACTGGATCTTGTGAGCTTGCAGACATGTCCATAGTCTGGTTATTGATGGCTTTCTGTTCCAGAGCCTCCAAAATGTTCTGAACTTTCCTGACACCATCCCTCCTTGCCTGGCGAACATCTATACGGCCTTCGGGGTCTACCGAGTCTAGGGCCAGCAGCTCTTTGGTAAGGTATTCCTCCAGCATCAGATATTTCTTTTCGTTTTTCCTGCCCCGGAAGTTGGCAACCGCTTCCTGCAGTGCTTGCACCCTGCCCAATATCCGCTCCACCTGCAGCACTCCGTGATGCTTTTCTTGGGGTTCTGCTACTTCAGCCTCTACGAAGTCAGGGCGTTCCTCCACAACATTTGTAGCTTGCATCTCATCCTTGCCTTCTTTCTGGACGTATGATGGTTTACATTCGGCTTCTGCCCAGCTGGGCTGCGCTGGCGCGGTGTTTGAGAATTGGCCTGGAGTATCGGTGGCAAGACCGGTCTGGGCTGAGCTAATGCTGGCAGGTCCTGCCTGGACTGGGCTAGTGGCATAGCCAGCCTGGACTGGGCTAGTGGCAGAGCCAGCCTGGACTGGGCTAGTGGCAGAGCCAGCCTGGTTTGGGCTCGGAGTGGCTGAGGTTGTCTGGGTTGAGTCAATGGTAGCTGATCTCATTTGAGACTGGGTTGGGGTGGCTGATCTTGTCTGTAGAGGCACTGCGGTGGGGGAGCCCATCTGCATGGTGACTGTGGTGGGAGAGCCCATGTGCACGGGCACTGTGGTGGGAGAGCCCATGTGTACGGGCACTGTGGTGGGAGAGCCCATCTGCACGGGCACTGTGGTGGGAGAGCCCATCTGCACGGGCACTGTGGTGGGAGTATTATCCATCTGAACTCTTGAAGGGGAGATCCTTTGCAAAGGAATCTGCTGGAAAGATAGACAGAAAGGCAGGATAAGACTCTATGTTGGAACCGATAACATTGACATCTATGATACAGCTTTGATGGAAGGTTCCTTGATATCTTGAATAGAATCAGCAGGTGGCTGATATGCAAATTAGGGCCATCAAAGGGTTCTTGGGGCTGGACACTGAGGAATGAAGATCTGCCAGGACGGTCACGTCCTGGGGCAAGCCCGACCCCCTGTTGGTATTTACTGCCCTCACCTGCGTCAGCAAGGCATATATGCTGGGGTGGGGGCAGGGGCATATGATGGAACCTTCTTCCTGTGTGACACTAACCTAGCTCACCAGCAAGACAAGTCTTTCTGAACTCTGCAATCAAGAATGTGATTGGCTGAGACCTGCTGGAGAGGCGTGTCGTGAGAACAGAGAAAAACCCCATGGCCTGTGTGACAGAGAGAGAATGGTGTAGCTAGCTCAAGGATCCTGACCCCTTCCAATGCCCTTCCCGATTCCCTTCATTGTAATTAGAATGTACGGTATGTATATCCCTATTTGTAAATAAACCCAACGGTCTTTAAAGGAGAACTATGAGGGGGGGAGGGGAGGGGCTTTTCACTCACCTCATAGTTCTAGCCGACCTGTGACAATGAGACTGTCACAGGTCGGCTCAGTAGATCGGGAGGTGAGCGAACACATACCGGCGTTCGCTCAACTCTCGATCCTGTCACGGCTCTCTCCCGTGACAGGGGAGGGGCTGGATTCCCCCGCTCCGATCCGCCAGCGCTGACTGGCGGAACGGACGGAGGAGGGGGCGGGTACAGCTGGCTCTGCCTCTAGATAGGCGGAGCCAGCTGTCAGTCACGCAGCTGGGCGGATCCCGGCACAATTGTCGGGATCCGCTCCGGCGTCTCAGTATACCGCGAGCTGTAGCTCCCTATATACTGAGCCTAGGGTGACGGGAGGACGCTAGTTTGTGTCCTCCCGTTACCCTGAGGAGAACTATGGGGAAAAGATTTAACCCCCATAGTTCTTCTTTAAGATTCAGTTGTTCATCAGGAATTTAGGGCACCCCCAAATCAGAGCACATTCTAAACTGTAGAGGTAAATACAACATTCATAATTAGTACTACCCCTTCCTGCTGGCTGTATGCATACATGCGTCACCATGACAAAGGGCTTTAATGCCATGCCGCCACATACATGTCTACAGCCGGCATTGCCGTTTTCTGCTGGCAATGCACTCACATGGCGTCCTTAGGCCTGTGACCACGCTGTCACCAACAGCTCGCAGTCACCGATTAGGCGCTGGTACATCTTGCTCCCGATTATATGATCACTATGACAATCAGTTACAGTGATCAGATGATTTGTGGCCCATCTACCAAGATTAAGTTTCCCTTACAGTTAGGGTCGCCACCTGTCCAGGATTCACCCGGACAGTCCGGTTTTTCGAATGCCGCGTCCGGGTTTCATGGCAGCAGAAACCCGGACACAAGATGTCAGGCAGACGGGGGCAACCAAAATTAAGATCGGGGCTACTGGCCCCCCACTAAAAATAGTCTCAACTGTGATATTTACATATGAATGGGCGGAGCTATTTACATATGAATAAGACGCGACTCATTCCCCCAAAAAAATGTCCGCGCGTCGCTAGAGTGTGTTCGGGTTTCACTTGAAGAAAGGGTGGCAACCCTACATACAGTGCCAGCTCTCACCGGCACAGGTAGGGGGTTGAAATAAGCCTTTAAAAGTTGCCATTGCTGGCTTCCCATCCTAAAAATCCCAGTTTTCTGGCGGTTCTGCTGGTCTGACGGCTCCACTTTCTTCTGAGTCATTGTCCCAGAAGAAATATGCAGGTTGGGTGACTTCATTCTGACTTCCTGATGATACAGATGTTCCATTTGGACGAGGTCTGAGGTCCGTGTCGTGGTTTATATAGTCAATGGGGAGGGCGAGAAAATGGGAACTCGCGTGTGCCTCTAATGACCGTTCGGAAAACTACCCACCTGGTGGGTCACTCTGAGGAACACCTCTACCTGTCTTCCCATTTCCTTTTCTTCACATTCTCTTTCTATAAATAGTTACATAGTATTTGGGGTTGAATAAAGACATATGTCCATCAAGTCCAACCCATATCGGTCCACGCATCATCTCATTCTTTAGGGGTACTGGTACCCCCGGATATTACGGTCCCTCAAGAAATTGTCCAAACGTTTCTAGAACAAATCTACACTCTTGGCTGAGATGACTGCCGATGATTTCAGCCAAGAAAAAAATAGTCCTCTTTGAAAAATTTTAGGGGGCCAGATAAGAAGAAGTGGCATCGCTCTAATGACCCACCAACCATCCTAACATGATCCCTCGCCTTTTATCTGATTATCAGCTTCACAGACTATAAATAGAGGTGACATACGAGGAGGCGGCTATGAGAAACATTCAGAGACTTGGCAACCAAAATGGCCCCCGGCAGCCTACAGACATCTTTTATGGTCCTCGTCTTTCCTATGAAGTCTGAATGCAATCTGAAACATAGACTGTCTGTGCTTCACATTATTGGTGGATATCCATCAATAACGGACCTTTAGGCCTCATGCCGGAGTCTCCTGAAAAGATTTGATCACTCGTTGTGTTGTTGCGACACGCCGTGTGCTTCAGGCGCCATCATTTTGTAGGAGCCGACCTGAAGGACTTCTATGGCACAATAGGTCAGGTAATGAGAAATGCGGCACGGAGGACTATGTCCTGAAACACCAACATCGAACAATGAGGAGGGGAATCTATCACAACTGGAGCAGCCGTGCACGGCAACCAATCAGCTTCTCTCTTTCATTTTCAAATCTTAACTGAACTGAAGAGAGAAGCTGATTGGTTGCCGTGCACGGCTGCTCCAGTTGTGATAGATTCCCCTCCTCATTGTTCGATGTTGGTGTTTCAGGACATAGTCCTCCGTGCCGCATTTCTCATTACCTGACCTATTGTGCCATAGAAGTCCTTCAGGTCGGCTCCTACAAAATGATGGCGCCTGAAGCACACGGCGTGTCGCAACAACACAACGAGTGATCAAATCTTTTCAGGAGACTCCGGCATGAGGCCTAAAGGTCCGTTATTGATGGATATCCACCAATAATGTGAAGCACAGACAGTCTACGGCTGCTCCGGGTTCTGGCTGCTCCAGTTGTGATAAATTCCCCCAGAGTATTTTCTTATGTCCATGCTTATGGGTCCAGCTGATAGCTCACCTTGGCATGTATGAGTACACGGGTCCAGGTGATAGCTCACCTTGGCATGTATGAGTACACGGGTCCAGGTGATAGCTCACCTTGGCATGTATGAGTACACGGGTCCAGGTGATAGCTCACCTTGGCATGTATGAGTACACGGGTCCAGGTGATAGCTCAC